GGAAATCATCTGAAATTCATTAGGGCGGAGGCGACAGGCGGCAGAGCTTCTTCGACGGTTCTGAGCGCCGCCACTGGGGCGTCAAGAGGGACAAGTCGTCACAAACAAAGGAAATCGTTTACTGTGAATGCCTTGCGCAGCCGGTGCCGCCGATCCTGAAGGGGGACGACGACGACGACGACGACGACGACGACGACGACGGCGACGACGACGATGACGACGGCGACGACGACGACGACGACGTCGACGGTGACTCCGAGTGCGACTGCAAAAAGTGAAGGAGATTCATTAGGGCGGAGGAGACTGGCGGCAGAGCCTTCCGTCGACGGCTCTGAGAGCCGCCACTGGGACTTTCAAGAGGGAAGTGCTCAAGGCATGGGACTAAGGCTGGAATAGGATGGCGCCAACGAAAAGCTTTCAAACATTGAAGGAAACTCATCAGGGCGGAGGCGACTGGCGGCAGGGCCTCGTCGACGGCTCTGAGCGCCGCCACTGGGACTTTCACGAGGGACAAGTCGTCACAAACACAGGAATTTGTTGATTGCGAAGGCCTTGCGCAGCCGGTGCCGCCGATCCTGAAGGGGGGACGACGGCGAGGACGACGACGACGACTACGACGACGACGACGACGACGAGGACGACGACGACGACGACGACGACGACGACGACGACGACGACGACGACGACGACGGCGACTTCGAGGTCGACGGCGACGGCGAAAAACATTCAAAAATTGAACGGAATTTATCCGGGCGGGGGCGACTGTCAGCAGAGCCTCGTCGACGGCTCTGAGCTGGGGCTATCAAGAGGACAAGCTCAAGGCATGGGACCCAAACTGGTATGTATAGGCTCCACGACGACGGCGACGACGGAAAACATTCAAAAACTGAAGGAGATTGATTCATCATGGCGGAGGCGACCAGCGGTTGAGCCTATTCGACGGCTCAGGGCGCCGCCATTGGGGCTCTCAAGAGGGACAAAGTCGTCACAAACGCACGAAAAAAAGTCACTTGCGAAGGCCTTGCGCAGCTGGTGCTGCCGACCCTGAAGGTGGACGAGGACGACGACGACGGCGACAATGAGCCTGGCGAAGGATCCAACCATGTGCAGCTGGGAGTACCGCGCGACAGGTGAAGGGAGGGCGCCAGCAAGCGGACGCACGCGTGCGTGAAAAGGACGGAGCGACGTTGCTGATGGGGTCGCAGGGGTCAGCCTTAAGTCGGGCACGTCCCTCGACAGGAGGAATCTTCAAACATAGTTTGAAGAAATAATCAGGGGACAATCTTGCGAGGACGTTTCACTGTCTGTGCATACATTTGTTGGCTATGTTCAGCTTTCCTTCCAAAATCCGCCTGTAGGAGGGCATGCCCGACCTAAGGTCAGCCGCAACGGGATGCAGCCCGGCACGGCCGATCGGAGAGCCCGCTGGCCGGGCCCATGGGGAGCAGCAGGGCGCGGCCCGGTGAGCAGCCAGCCCCGGGGCCTCTCCTGTTGGAGCTCCAACAGGGCCACGGAACGTGCGAGGGGTGTGCCAACATGCGCGCGGCCACGCATGCGATCTTTGCCGATGGGGAGGGGTGTGCCGAAATGGCCTGGAGAAGGCATGCGAACGCAGGCATTGGGGCCGTGGGTGGAGCTCCCAATGGGACCACGCAGCGTGCGAGGGGGTGCGCCGAAATGGCCCGGAGAAGGCATGCGAACGCCGCCACGGAGGCCTTAGGCGGAGCTCCCTGCGGGACCACAAAACGTGAGAGGGGTGCGCCGACATGTTGAGCTGGCGGCATGCGACGCAGCCACTGGGGCCTGACTTTTTAGTCAGCGGCCGCGGGCGAGCGCGCCAGCGGCGAGTCCAGTCAAAGCGGGGCACGCAGCGACGTTTTAAACTAAAGCGACGGAGGGTGGCCACACCTACAGCGGCTAACCGGGACCTCACGCAGCAGCTCAGCGGCGGACCGGCGAGTGGGAGTGCAGCTGAAACTGAGTCGTACTGCCAGCGTGCAAGAATGCATAGCGTCGGAAGCACCAGGAAGTCGGGACACACGACGACCTGGGTCAGAAGCCGAAATTAATACATGGACGCAACCCGGGACAACTGCGTGAGTACCAGAGTGGCCCGAAGGACCGTCAGTCAAGGTCGAATTGGTGCCGAGACGAGGCGAGAGCGTTGGCAGGCTGCGAGATCCCAGGGTGGCCGTAGCCGCACAGCCCCACCACTGGGGCCTTACTTTTTTGGTCGGCGGCTCCGAGGCGGCGGACAGGGAGCGGTAGGCATCGTCTGGGGACACTGGGGCCTTACGCGGAGCTCCCTATTTGGCCCCGAAGTGTGTGAGGTGTGTGCCGATATGGTGAGGTGGCGGCATGTGAACGCAGCAGTTGGGGCCTTAGGTGAAGCTCCGTATGGGATCATGAACCGTGTGAGGGGTGCGCCGAAATGGTGAGATGGTGGCATGCGAACGCAGCCACTGGGGCCTTGGGCGGGGCTCCCTGTGGGGCCACGAAGCAAGGAGGGTAGTTGAGTGGTCTTAAGGTCACAGGTGCTTATTTTGCCAACCGGCCAAGAATTAAGAATCGCCGGCCGTGCCATGGGCATTTCAAGGAGGTGGGTCCTTGTGGCGAGCGACGCCCAGGCATCAGGAATCAAGGTGGAGCCACAAGTCGCCGTGCCCGCGCTGGGGCCACGTGGAGGGTGGGTCCCCGTGGCGAGCGCGGCACCCAGGAATCAAAGGTCGCCGTCTCCGCGCTGGGGCCCCGGGGAGGGTGGGTCCCGGTGGCGAGCGGCGCCCAGGAATCAAATGTCGCCGTCTCCGCGCTGGGACCGCGAGGGAGGGTAGGTCCCCGTGGCGAGCGGCGCCCAGGAATCATGAGCCGCCATTTCCAGGCTGAGGCCACGCGGGAAGGTGGGGTCCCCGTTGCGAGCGCCTCCCAGGAATCATGCGCTGCGCCAAGAGGTTCAAGCAATCTGCGTGCGAGGTTGAAAATTAGGGCTTGTCCTGCAGGAAGGACGGGGCCGAGAATCCGGGAAGCCGTTCTAGGACTCCTCAAATTCGGACCTGGTCCGAATTGGAACCAGAATTTGGTCCGGAAGCTGCTCCCTTCATCAAACCTTTGTGGCCTTTATTACCGGAGGCTTCCAAAGGTTTTTTTTCTGCGGAGGGGGTTCTCCAGAGAGCCCCCCAGGGACCTCGGAACCTCGTCAAAATAGGGGGTGCGAAGCCCCTGGGGGGCCCCTCCTGGAAAACCCCCTCCCCAAAAACCTGTTTTGGAACCCCAAGCTGGGCACGACAGCTTAATTCAATTAGGATCGGGTCTCACGGGCGCAGGCCTGAAACATATATGGCCTCAGACTCGCCCAGCTGCCCTCGTACGGAGGTGAGCGGTGCAATGACTTGGTGAGGTGGCGAACGCAGCCGCTGGGGCCGTAGGTGGAGCTCCCTGTGGGGCCTTGAAGCGTGTGAGGGGTGCGGCGACATTTTGAGGTGGTGGCATGCGAACGCAGCCACGTGCGAGGGGTGCGCCGAAATGTCGAGATGCGGCATGCGGACGCCGCCACGGGGGCCTTAAGGCGGAGCTCCCTGTGTGGCCCCGAAGAGTGTGGGGGGTGCGCCGGAATGGCGAGGAGGCGGCATGCGAACGCAGCCACTGGCGCCTCAGACGGAGCTCCCTATGGGACCACGAAGCGATGGCGATGATGATGATGATGATGATGATGATGATGATGATGATGATGATGGTGATGGTGATGGTGATGGTGATGTTGATGTTGATGTTGATGTTGGTGTTGATGTTGATGTTGATGTTGATGATGATGATGATGATGGTGGTGGTGGTGGTGATGGTGGTGGTGATGATGATGATGATGGTGGTGGTGGTGATGATGATGATGATGATGTTGATGATGATGATGGTGATGATGATGACGACGACGACGATGCAGATGGCGCTGATGATGATGATGATGCTGATGCTGATGCTGATGCTGATGGTGGTGATGGTGATGATGCTGATACTGATGCTGGTGCTGGTGCTGATGTTGCTGATGTTGCTGATGATGCTGATGATGATGTTGATGATGATGATGGTGGTGGACGTGCTGGTGATTATGATGATGATGATGATGATGATGATGATGATGATGATGATGATGATGCTGTTGATGACGATGATGCTGCTGATGATGATGCTGCTGATGATGATGATGATGTTGATGCTGGTGCTGGTGCTGGTGCTGATATTGCTGATGATGATGACGATGATGGGAGGAGGAGGAGGAGGAGGAGGAGGATGCTGATGCTGATGATTATGGTGGTGGCGATGATGATGATGATGATGATGATGATGATGATGATGACGACGATGATGATGCGGGCATGCGGGGAGCAGGAGAAGAAGGGAGCAGGAGAGGAGGAGGGACGCTGGGCACCGCTGATTCAAAACGAGCACCAAGCTCAACACGGGATGGTTGGGAGTTGAAGGAAACTCATTCGGGTGGAGGCGACCAGCGGCAGACACGGCTCTGAGCGCCGCCATTGGGGCTCTCGAAGGAAAAAGCCGGTTCCCACAAGTTGATTTCCATGAGAATATGGGAAACTTTGGGACATGAAGGGGAAGAGAAATCCGGGAAGTATGGAACTACGTGGGAAATCCTGAAGTTTGCGAAGATTTATGTGTACCCTCTGGGCCGTCTATCGGCGGCGCGCCCGCGGGGGAAGTGAGAGGGAGCGGGCCTTCTCAGAAGGTTCGGAAGAGTCCAGCCTTCTGAGAAGTGTCATCAGCTTTCCCCGAAGACACAGAAGACATCTCGGAAAGCGCGAGGGTTTCTGAGAAGCCCCGCCGCCTTCTGAGAAGGCCTGCGTCTCCCCACTTCCCACGGGACACCCCGCCGACTTCCCAGGCATCCCGCGCTGCTCCAATTGTTGATGCGTGGGCCCCAGAGATCTGCACCACTCCCCTGTGGCCGGCTTTTCTCATCCCGGGTTGTTTTTGACGCTCCCGGGGCCCGGCGAGGGCCCCAGAGGCCGAACACGGCCAAAGACCCGGCCGCTCCACTTTTGTTGTCAAGCGTCGGATATTTTGTTTCCTCCCTGGCGCGCCGCCACCTTTAGGCTGAAGTCGGGCATGTCCCTCTACAGGAGGAATATTCAAAAATAGTCAAAACATAGTCTGGGCACGATTGTTTGTCAGTAGTTCTGGGTAGTTGTTCTAAAACAATTCTTCGTTTTCGTCCAAAGTCCGCTTGTAGGAGGACATGCCCGACCTAATTTTGGGCTCGCCTCACGCCCGACGACGTGATTTTTTCACAACGTCGACCCCCAGAGGTCTGGACATCTGCCCCAGGACCGGTTTTTCGTCCTGAGTCGTCTTTCGACGGTCCCGAGGTCCTGGAAGGCCCCCAGAGGCCGGAAACGGTCCAAAACCAGTCACTCCATTTTTTGTTGTCAAACGTCGGATCTCTGGGTTCCCCCCAGCACGCCGCCGACTGTAGTCGGCGGCGAGCGAGGGGGGAAGTGAGAAGGAGAAGGCCTTCTCAGAAGGCGGCGGGACTTCTCAGAAGCCCTCGTGCCTTCTGAGGAGTGTTTTGTGCGTCTTCGGGGAAGGCTTGGAAAACTTCTCAGCAGGCCCGGGGGGGGGGGACTCCCGAACCTTCCGAGAAGGCCTTCTCCTTCTCGCTCCCCCCCTGGCTCGCCGCCGATCCCAGACCCCCGACGTAATGATTTTTTCGTTACGTCGACCCCCAGAGGTCTGGACCCTTTCCCCATGACCGGCTTTGCATCCTGAGTCGTTTTTTGACGCTCCCGAGGCCCGGTGAGAGCCCCCGGAGGCCGAAAACTAGGAAAAACATCCCGTCATGATTTTTTCATTGCTCGAGGGGGTCTGGGATTCAGGCTCGCCTCACGCCCAAGCTGGCGCACTCGCGGAGGGAGGCGTCGTTCCACACAGCGGGATCGGCGTGCAGCCGGCGCTCCAGCGGGCCGTCGCAGGCCTCGGAGCCGCCGCCGCGCGCCGCGGCCAGGTCGTCAGGGGCGGCCTGGCCGACCCCTGGCACGAATACGGGCACGTCCCCCTGCAGGAGGAATACTCGAGAAGTGTCGAAAGATAGCCTGGGGACGATTCTTCTATTATTGTTGTTGTTGTTATTATTTTAATGCTTATCATTATTATTATTAGTATTATTAGTAGAATTATATCAGTTTTATTATTAGTATTCGTATTAGTATTATTATTAGTATTAGTATTATTGTTATTATCATTATTATTATAGTATTATCAGTATTCGTATTAGTAAGAGTATTCGTATTATTATTATTATTATTATTATTATTATTATTCTTATTAGTACTATTATTATTATTATTATTTTTGGATTATGCTTGATTTTTCGCTTTTGTCCTCCAACACCCGCCAGCAGGAGAACACGCCCGACCCAACCCTCTAGCAAACCTTCCCCTTTCAGGGCGCAGCCCCCTCGACTCGCCCCAGGACGCCCTGTGCGTGTGCGGCCGGAGGGGAGCTGGCGAGGCGAGGGGGGCGCCACGGGAGGGGACGGCCTGCTGCCCAGACCCCCTCGCGCCATGATAAAGTCGCGGCGGGAGGTTTTGCGCTCCTCCTCCCCCTCCTCCTCCTCCTCCTCCTCCTCCTCCTCCTCCTCCTCCTCCCCCTCCTCCTCCTCCTCCTCCTCCTCCTCCTCCTCCTCCTCCTCCTCCTCCTCCTCCTCCTCCTCCTCCTCCCTCTCCTACATCTGGTAGTGGTGGTGGTGTAGAAATCGTTGGGGGCCCTTGCCGGGCCCCGGGACCGTCAATGCCGGACACGCATGTCTGCGCGCGAGCGCTCGAGTGCAGCACCGTGTCGGCACCAGCCTTTGGGCAAGAGGTGGTCACACCCCGCAGCGGTGAGCGCAGAATGGTATGACAAAAATTGTTCGTGCTGCTGCGGTGCTGCGCAGGGCGTCAGTGTTGTGCAGTATGGCAGTAGTGCCCAACGTGGGGATACCCATCAGTTTAAATCACGTATCGTGCAGATTTTGTCCATTGCTCCCATGCCGTGGTAAAAAACTGGTCCCGGGGAATGAGTCCAGACCTTTCAAGCAGTGGCGAAGCGTCCTGGCCCGCCTATCGCCCTACCAAAGAATGTTCTAGGAACCTTTGGTGGTTTCCACGAAATGTTCTTAGACCATTTCTGGCGGAGTCTGTCTTGTTCGATCACATTGGGTTTATGTTCTAAGAGCATTGTTTTTGTTATTAGAACATTTGGGGGGTCTAAGAACATTTCGTGGTAGGACAATAGGAATGCCGGGACGGTCGGTCCCTGGTCGACTCACGACGTTGCATGTCTGGGTAGGGGTCGGCGAGGCCGCGCCCAAGGTCACCCTTCGAGCTGGAGGCCGAGAAGCAGGAGACAACGCGGGTTTTTGAGATATTCCGGGGGCAGCAATCAAGGACAACGATAGGGGGGGATAGGCATAGGGCGGGATGCATCGACACGCAATCGCCCATTGATCGCCGATGGGGCCCAATAGCCCCAACCTGCCCAGGAAGGTGCGGATTCACTATCAGGGGCCTGTCGCCGATTTATCGGCGATGTATCGCCGATTCCAGGTCGATGCATCCCCCCCTATGCCAGTCCCCCCCTCGTTGCCCCTCAAGCAAAAGCCCGAAAGATCCGACGCTCCAGCAAAGACTGGAGCGGGTGGCTTTTGGCCACGGGCCGACAAGCCATGCGAAAGTCAAGTCTGGGTACTTTGAGATCCTGGCGTTGCAATTGTTCCACGCCGGGCGTTTTCGCTCGCATTCGGGCCACCAGACCTTCACAAAGCGACCCGGCTCGAAAATGAAACAAAACGACGGGGTCCGGGCCTCGAGTCGTGATTTTGTACGATGTTGTATTTTTTTGGTACGTCGGATCTCAGGGTACAGTCAGCCCGCATAGTAAGGATGAGCAACTGTTCAAAGCTATCCTCGCATCCTTGCCCCGTCGGCCCATCCTTAGCGACTCTCGCTGGCCAGCCTCGTTCGAGAAACGTTCACGTGGCCTTCCAAAGCCCTTGCATCCTTACCGCGCATCCTTGTGATATACGGATTGACTGTAGCATGCTCATCGTCGGCTGGGTCAGACAGAACCAGGGCCCAACCAGATTTCATGGCGCCAACATCGCAGAACGGATTTCGTTCGGACAGCGAAAGGATGGGCCCAGAGTGTCCTGGAGAATTTCGCTTTGGATTTCGAAGTGAATTTCACGCGCTTCTTGGGCCCGGAATGAGGACCATGAAAATCCGCGCGAAATTCGTTGTTTTTCATTCGCAGCTTCAGGGTTTTGCATTGGCAGAAATCCACGCAATAATCCGCTGCAGCGCGCCTGCAAGGTCGGTGCAGTGACAGATGGCCTCGCGACAAAACCACCGTAGACGCGCTAACAGCGATGTAGGTTTCGGCATTGTAGGTGGGAGTGCCTCGTGGCCAAACCAAATCGTAGGACATCGTGGTTCGTGCTTTCCTACAGTTCGCTGCGTCGTTTTCGGTCGATATATTCGCACATCTGAAATGTAGGAATGTGTGGTTCGCGATGTCCTACCATTTGCTATGCGCGAGCTCGGCGTCACAAAAGTCGGATTCCCAACATCGCCGTTCACCAATATCGCCGTTAGCGCGGCCTTGGAGCCAGGGCCCAACCAGGGCGCATCGCGAGATTCAAGGCTTTGCACTGGCAGACATCCACGCAAAGATCTGCTGCAGAACGTCTGCAAGGTCGGTGAAATGACAGATGAGGCGTTCCCCAAACGTCCTTGCCTTCGAGGATAGAAAGAGTTGTCATCTCTTCCGCCGCTGAAGGCCGGCGGAAGGCCGGCGGATGAGAAACGAGGCCGCCTCCGCGGGCGGAAGCTCGGCGGAAGGCGGCGGAAGTAAAACATGCGTCCCCAGGAGGTGAATACGTTTTTGTCAAGCAGTGGCGAAGCGTCCTGGCTCGCCTTTAGCCCTACCAAACAATCTTCTAAGAACCTTGTGTGGTTCCCACGAAATGTTCTTAGAACATTTCTGGCGGAGCCTGTCTTCTTTTTATCACATCGGGCTTATGTTCTTAGAACCTTGTTTCTGTTAGTAGAACGTTTTGGGGTTCTGAGCATGTTTCGTGGTAGGACACTAGGAATGCCGGGATGGTCGGTCCCTGTTAAATTTTGGGTACAGGGTTTCCGAAATCCGCCAGATGGCATCGCGAGAAGTCGTGCTGGTCCCCTCCGGCCTGCGGGCCGCAGCCCCGTGACCCAGGCCGGTATAGGAGCTGACACACCACTGCGCCGGCCGCTCCTGGCCGACTTTTCGCGCTGCCAGGAGGAGGAGGAGAAGGAGGAGGAGGAGGAGGAGGAGGAGGAGGAGGAGGAGGGAGAGAGATTTGGGGGAGGAGGAGGAGGAGGCGGAGAGGAGAGGAGGGGGAGGAGAGGAGGAGGAGGAGGAGGAAGGAGGAGGAGGGGGAGGAAGAGAAGGAGGAGGAGGAGGAGGAGGAGGAGGAGGAGGAACGACGAGCGGCAGGCGGTTTTGACTTTTTTCGGCCTGGGGGCGCCCTCGCCGGGCCCCGCGGGACCGTCCGAAGACGACTCGGGACGAAGCGCCGACCCTGGGGGAAGTGGTCCAGACCCACAGGATCCGTCAGAGCTCCGAATCATCAGGGGTAACTCGGGTCAGGGGTAACTCGGGTTCCTTTTTCGGGAATCCAAACCCGAGTTACCCCGGACCCGAGTTACCCCGGATAACTCGGGCGTCCAGAGCCCCGAATCATCAGGGGTAACTCGGGTCAGGGCTAACTCGGGTTCGTTTTTCGGGAATCCAAGCCCGAGTTACCCCGGACCCGAGTTACCCCGGATAGCTCGGGCGTCCAGAGCCCCGAAGCATCAGGGGTAACTCGGGTCAGGGGTCAACTCGGGTTCCTTTTTCGGGAATCCAAACCCGAGTTACCCCGGACCCGAGCTACCCCGGATAGCTCGGGCGTCCAGAGCCCCGAATCATCAGGGGTAACTCGGGTCAGGGGTAACTCGGGTTCCTTTTTCGGGAATCCAAACCCGAGTTACCCCGGACCCGAGCTACCCCGGATAGCTCGGGCGTCCAGAGCCCCGAAGCATCAGGGGTAACTCGGGTCAGGGGTAACTCGGGTTCCTTTTTCGGGAATCCAAACCCGCGTTACCCCGGACCCGAGCTACCCCGGATAGCTCGGGCGTCCAGAGCCCCGAATCATCAGGGGTAACTCGGGTCAGGGGTAACTCGGGTTCCTTTTTCGGGAATCCAAACCCGAGTTACCCCGGACCCGAGTTACCCCGGATAACTCGGGCGTCCAGAGCCCCGAATCATCAGGGGTAACTCGGGTCAGGGGTAACTCGGGTTCCTTTTTCGGGAATCCAAACCCGAGTTACCCCGGACCCGAGTTACCCCGGATAGCTCGGGCGTCCAGAGCCCCGAATCATCAGGGGTAACTCGGGTCAGGGGTAACTCGGGTTCCTTTTTCGGGAATCCAAACCCGCGTTACCCCGGACCCGAGCTACCCCGGATAGCTCGGGCGTCCAGAGCCCCGAAGCATCAGGGGTAACTCGGGTCAGGGGTCACTCGGGTCAGGGGTCCTCGGGTTCCTTTTTCGGGAATCCAAACCCGCGTTACCCCGGACCCGAGCTACCCCGGATAGCTCGGGCGTCCAGAGCCCCGAAGCATCAGGGGTAACTCGGGTCAGGAATAACTCGGGTTCCTTTTTCGGGAATCCAAACCCGCGTTACCCCGGACCCGAGCTACCCCGGATAGCTCGGGCGTCCAGAGCCCCGAAGCATCAGGGGTAACTCGGGTCAGGGGTAACTCGGGTTCCTTTTTCGGGAATCCAAACCCGCGTTACCCCGGACCCGAGCTACCCCGGATAGCTCGGGCGTCCAGAGCCTCGGGTTCCTTTTTCGGGTTCCCACGAAATGTTCTTAGAACAGTTCTGGCGGAGCCTGTTTTCTTTTTATCACATCGGGCTTATGTTCTCAGAACCTTGTTTTTGTTAGTAGAACGTTTTGGGGTTCTGAGCATATCTCGTGGCAGGACAATAGGAATGCCGGGATGGTCGGTCCCTGTTAAGTTTTGGGCACAGGGTTTCCGAAATCCGCCAGATGGCATCGCGAGAAGTCGTGCTGGTCCCCTCCGGCCTGCGGGCCGCAGCCCCGTAACCCAGGCCGGTATAGGGGCTGACACACCACTGCGCCGGCCGCTCCCGGCCGACTTTTCGCGCTGCCAGGAGGAGGAGGAGAAGGAGGAGGAGGAGGAGGAGGAGGAAGAGAGGAGGAGGAGGAGGAGGAGGAGGAGGAGGAGGAAGAGAAGGAGGAGGAGGAGGAAGAGAGGAGAGGAGAGGAGGAGGAGGAGGAGGAGAGAGGAGGAGGAGGAGGAGGAAGAGGAGGAGGAGGAGGAGGGGGAGGAGGAGGAGGAGGAGGGAGGAGGAGGAGGAGGAGGAGGAGGAGGAGGAGGAACGACGAGCGGCAGGCGGTTTTGACTTTTTTCGGCCTGGGGGCGCCCTCGCCGGGCCCCGCGGGACCGTCCGAAGACGACTCGGGACGAAGCGCCGACCCATGGGGAAGTGGTCCAGACCCACAGGATCCTCAGAGCCCCGAAGCATCAGGGGTAACTCGGGTCAGGGGTAACACTCGGGTTCGTTTTTCGGGAATCCAAGCCCGAGTTACCCCGGACCCGAGTTACCCCGGATAACTCGGGCGCCCAAGATCCGACGCTCCAAACAAAATGGAGTGGGCGGTTTTGCACTGTATTCGGCCTCCGGGGGTCCTCGTCGGGCCCCGCGGGACCGTCAACAAAACGACTCGGGACGACAAGCCGGCCCCATGGGAAGTGGGTCCAGACTCAAAGACCCAGATTCCCGACGACATGATGTTTTCGTGACGTCGACCCCCAAAGGTTTCGACCCATGCCCCGGGATCGGTTTTTCGTCCTGAGTCGTTTCATGACGGTCCCGCAGAGGCCGAGAATAACCAAGAGCCTCCCGTCGTGATTTTTGTCCTGAACCGAGGGGGTCTGGCAAAAACGACTCGGGACGACAAGCCGGTCCCGGGGGATGTGGTCCAGACCCAAAGATCCCACGCTCCAAGCAAAATTGGAGTGGTCTAGGCCTCCTAGATGGGGTCGGAGTAGATGGGGTCAGAGAATCGCTCCGCATCGCCGATGCGGCTCAATGCGAAGCCCGATTTGCTTCACGTCAACGTCGCCGATGCATAGCCCACGTCGACGATGCATCGCCGGTGCATCGCCGATGCATCGCCGATGTATCGGCGATGCGGCGCGATCCTCCGACCCCATCTAGGAGGCCTCTAAGGGGGCGGTTTGGTGATCGTTTTTTGATTTATTGTTTTGCCGATCGGCGCGGGCCCTCGCACCCCCCCTCCCCCCCCCGTGGAGCGGATCTCGGCGCCTGTTTCGAGCAGGCGTAGTCTCCCCCACAATGAACGCGCAACTGCACGCAGCCGCTCTAAGCAGAGGTCCAGAGCCAGACCCTCCCCCCCCCCTCCCCCTCCCCTTCCGCCCAATGTCGAAACGCCGAATCAAAAAACGCCCACAAGATCCGACGCTCCAGACAAAACTGGAGTGGGCGTTTTGGGGGCTGTTTTTTGTTGCGGCCTCCGAGGGGCCCCTCGCCAGGCCTCAGCCGTCAAAACAAACGACTCCTGGGATGAAGAACCGGCCCCAAGATCATGGGGAAGCGGTCCAGAGTTCTGGGGGGCCCACGCATCGAAAAAGTTGGAGAGGCCGGGCGTCTGGGGACCCAGGGCCCCCTCGCAGGTTTTTCGCTATTTTCGGCCTCTGGGGGCCCTCGCCGGGCCCCGGGGCCATCAAAAAACGATTAAGGTTGAAAAACCGGTCCCAGGGAAGGGGTCCAGACCTCTGGGGGTCGACGTTGTGAAAAAATCACGACGTCGGGGATCTGGGGAGTGGGGGGCTGACAGGACTCATTTCGACTCCTCCGATCCGATGCGCTTCGATTTCGATGGCTTCCAATTCCGATTCGAGTCGGCTTTAAATTCCGGTTTGGATTCCGATTTCTAAACGGAGGCCTACTAGCCTGCCGATTTCCGCCGATTCGACTTCTTCCGCCTCGGCTGCCGAGTTCCGCCGATCCGATTCATTTCGATCGCCGATCCGATTGTATCGTTTCGATTGTGGGTACTCCTGGGGTGATTACTAGGGGGGCGGATATCATGGTGGAGGCCACGATAGCTCCCCAGCCTGGGCTGGACCCCAGGCGTTTCCTCGGAGCCCCACTGTGTCGATGGACCGTGCTGGTTGAGCACACGCTCCGAGTGACGCGCCTTTCCTCAGCGTCAAATTTCTGCCAACTCTAAGCAGGGGTGCATTCCCTGGCGACCAGGGGCCTGAGTAGGAGGAGGAGGAGGAGGAGGAATACTAAGAATGAAAATAATAATTGTCATTATAGATTATTATGAATAAGCTTTGTATGCTTATTATTCATATCAGCATTACTAGTAGTATTACTATTATAAGTGTTATCATTATTAATAAGATCATTATTCATTTGTTATTAGTATCCGTATTATTATTCTTAGTATCATGTATGATATTGTTGTTAATTGTTGGTACTTATTATTTCTACGATTATTAGTGCTATTATTGTTATTACGATTATTATTACTATGATTACTAATATTCGGGGGGCAACGTTCGGGGTTCGAGGGTACCGGGCGTTTTCGTAGGGTTTCTCAGCGCTTGTCCAGCTTCGGGGGGTGCTTTCCAGCAGCTGCGCCTCGCCGAGAGCGCCCCGCTGGTGCCCAGATCGTCCGAACGTTCGCCGGAGAGCCGAGTCCCAGACATGATCGCGTCGTAAAAAAGTCAGGACTCGCCGTCCTGAAAAAATCAGGGCGTCGCATGTCTGGGGTTATGACCCCTGGCGCTAACAAGCGTGACCGGGGGGGGCAGGGGGCAAGTCACGTCACGATTCGCGCCGGCGCCGCTTGGGAATACCCATCAATGATTGCTTCCGAGACGGTGCCGCCGCGAATCATGACGTGACCAGGGGGAGGGAGAGGGGGGTGCCAGGGGGGTTACGAGCGTGATCGAAAAATGATAACCCCAGACGTGCGGCGTCCTGATTTTTTCAGCACGGTGTCCCTAGAAGTCCCGACCCCTTCCCCGGAACTGTCTTTTCATCTTGAGTCCTCTAGTGACGGTCCCGGAATCCGGCGAGGCACTCCAGAGGCTGGAAACGGGGAAAAAATTCGTCCTGATCTTGTCTGGGGGCGAATGAGCTCCAGGAGTTCTTGCGGGACGTGCTGGGCAGCAACACCCGCTTCGAGGTTGCCACCTGGGCGGGGAAGATCTTCGACTACGAGCGCGCCGCCGAAGCCGTGGCGCTGCGCGAGGAGGCCGCCGGGAGGGCCCGTCGCCGCACGCAGGAGCCGGCGGCGCGCAAGAGTGACCCTTCGCTGGGGCGGCCTCTGGTGTCCTCGACCTGCACCTTCCGCGCCTTCCGATCGACAGGTGCCGCCGCGGTGCCGCGGCCACATCGCGGCGGCACCCTCCGCGCGGAGAGTTTGGAAGGTGCAGGTCGGGGGTCATGAGGATATGGGAAGCCATGGGGAGTTCATCAGGGCGGAGGCCGCGGCGGCGACCGCGGCAGCGCGTCACCTGCCGAGCGGAAGGTGCAGAAGGTGCAGGGTGAGGGTGCAGGCCCGCAGGGATCCCGCCAGCATCGGCTTTTGTTTCGGAAGTGGGCTGGAGTCGACCGCGAACTCCCAGGCAGCACAGGACCGAACGAGGCCCCGACCAAAAATGAGCGAGTGAGGGCCAGAGGAGAAACACCACGGCGTCGCGGTAGCGACGGAGCGAACCCCGAGGCCCGCAGACCCACCGCGCCAGCCAAGCAGCGTAGACTACAGAAGGTATAGTCTCTTGACTTGCGAGACAGCCGTCCTCGGCTGGCGCGCTTGGCTTGCCTGGAGTTGGTCTGCGGCACGCTCAAGCCGCGCATCGAAGTTC